ATTCCCCCATGCAAGTGGAGGCTGGTCAGAAGAGAAAGGAAGAGCAGATGGTGCAGACAGCCGCGCCATCTCAGAAGACCAAGTGGCCAAAAGGGCCAGGCAAGGGCTCAGGACAGGGGCAAGGGTACAATCAAGACAGGCGGCCAAAGACCCAGAATTCCTGGTGGAGCGACAACAGAAACCAGGGCTCTACGTATTCTTCGGAAGATCTGAAAAATCTGGTTCGAACCATGGGGCATCTTCTGATACGCCAGGAGGATTCCCTATCGATTCTTCAATAGGATACGCAATTAATGTTATTCCTGAAGAATCGCGATCCAGGCAAATCAGCCTCCGAGGACTGGAGCATAGTCCAGGCGCTCTTTTTGGCGGGCAAGCACTGGCGGGAGCAGAAAGAGAAGACCCCCAGCCAGGTCACTCAGCCACTCAGGGTAATCCTTTTGGGCTCCATATGGGATGCCCTGCTAACGAGGGTGAAGCAGCTGCAGACGGACCCAGCACTGAAGGCGCTGGCGGAGCAAAGAGGCCTGATGGGGAATGGGGCCTTCCCTTACCTATAATGGGATCCGGAGAAGAAAGAGTATGCGCCGGCGATGCAGGAGCACCTCTCCTACAAGGATGTGGTGGAGACTCTGACATCCCTCAAGCTGCTATCGGTCCTTCCGCACGTGGTAGCTCGTTTCCACGCAATACGGAAACTTACAGCGGAAATGACCAGCGAAGTGATGCCGTTCACGCTCGAAATCCAAAATCGCTCGCAGGAATCCCAACAGTGCTTTCACCTGCTCGGAAAGCTCAGCCGCAACTCCAGTACCCACCTCATTGCGGCCACGCTACGACCGGCCAAGCTCGGTCGTTCGCCCTTGGCGAACACTGTCGACCGCTTGATCCAGGAGCTTTAGCATAGCTTCGCTCAGCAGGCAGGCAGAAGATAAGTCTATTGCAGCTCCAAAATCCCAATAACTACTGCTATGCAAACGCTACTGTATTAGCTACTACGTGGACAATTGCACAAACCTTGGAGGTTCATAATACAGCTTTTGTCGACACCCGCTTCATGCGTTTCCTAATCTGGCTGACAGCTCAGACTAGGTCCGTCACCTTATGGCACACACTGCAATGGCAGACCATTACACGCAATTGGTCACGCCCAGGTCAGCAGCACGATGCCTCGGAATTTTTGCAGAGCCTCATGTAGGAAGTTTTTCAAGCCGGCAAGGTTGGCACTTGGGAATCTAGACTATAGATTAATAGTAATACTCCGGCGCAGGCGACGGATCGTGGTACCACGTAGCCCTTGCCTTTGTCAGCAGCTCTGAGCCTAGATGCTGACAGCTCCATCCAGAATCTCATAGATGTCTGGAGTGCTCAGGCCAGATCTCATGCTTTGAGCAGCCTTCCCGCTATATTGGCCTTGCAAATAGCGAGATTCACGGACCAAGGGGATAAATCTCCAGGCACGATTTCCCCCGACTGGAGTTTTGCCGTGCCCTACTACAGGAATGACGGGGCTGATATAGAGCATGCCTTGTACAGGGTTATGGCAATCATTTACCACATAGGGGAAAACATACTGCAAGATCATTACTGTGCTGTCTTGTTTGAAGACGGAATGCCAGCTCATCATATCGATGATGGCCGCAGAGCCGTTAAGCTTAGACCTCGGGACCTCAGTCTAATACTCCGCAATTGCTATGTTATTTTTGCAGTAAAGAGCTCGTAATCAACAGCATTCTGCAAGCAAGACTGAACACCAGTCTCCTTTAGGAAACATGCTGAAGCAGTCAATTCAACCAGGAAAGCCTTGTGTGAAGTAACCAAGATACACGGTCTATAACCTAGATGCACGGCTCCATGTCTGATTGCCAAACATTAGGCACTTCTTATTGATCAGTCCAAGCCTTCATGGCTGATATAGAGTAGCTTGCGTATGGGCCCTCAAGAAAAGCTTGAGGTTGTCAGGACGCAACGCAGGACTCTTTCTGCGGCGGAGGAAGAAGATCAATTTTATCGATATTCTATTAAATTATCAAGAAATCTAGAAATCTTGATATTTTCATTTTATCTTTCTTAAAAAGCGTTCCTCTCTCTATGATTTGGATTTTGCTATAGATATATTTTCTATATTATACGAATTTATAAATATATCTAGATATTCATAGCTGATTTTTATTTCTGAAGATTTTGGATTTGTCTATTTCGATTTCTGATAAATATTCAAATATTGAAGATATCGAGATGATAAATGATTAGATAAGATATATTTTCTCTTTTTTCGATATTCTATTTTCATGACTTATCAATCCAATTTTTTCTAGAATCTATCTTTTCTTAAATCATTTTACAAATCAATAAATTATCTTTCGAAATCTATTGATTTTTCGGATAATCAATTTATCGGGAATAATAGAATATATCGTTTTTTGAATTTATCGATTTCATAACTTCTCAATAAATAAACGGATCAATTCTTGAATAGAAATGAATATTATTAAGATTATATAATTTCTTATAGATATGATATCTCGTAGGAGGTCTTGCTTTTTAGATCTCTATCATATCTCTTATAGATTCCCTAGAATTTCTGATATTCCGAGAATCTAGAATCTCCATAAAATCTCGACGATTTTTGGGCAGATATCCCTCTCTCGTCTTTCTCTCTATTTTATTCATTTCTATCTGAATTAATGATATAGATGATGATCTAGGAAATATCCGGCTCTCGAAGATTTTAGATCTCCCTCATAGATTTATCTCTGATAGATATATGGCTGCCTTGCGACATTCCCTCGTTTTGATCTATATTCAATCAATCATATGGTCTATATCTTTCGATTTATGAATTTAATAATCAATCTATCAAATTATCGATCTGATCATCTATCTTCTATCCGATCGGACGATTTCTCATTCTATCGAATCAATACTTTCATTTATTGAAATCTTTCTATTCGTTTATTCAATACTTTATATATCTAAATCATAAACGACCCAATTAGAAGAAGATCTATCTATCTAATATTCTATCATATCTTTCAATAATCAATCTATCGACGAAATCATAAATATATCTATGAAGATTATTATATCAATTAATTGATTTGACGATTTCTTGAAATTCATAATTTCTCTATCAATAGATTTATCTGAAGATCTATCTCTGAATATATCGATTTCATATTGATAGATTATCAATATTCATATATATCCGCAATATATTTTCTCGAATTTTTTTATTTCATGATATAACGATTTATCAATATTAATGATATATCCCACGATGATATGATCGTTTTCATTATCTATCGGATCTATCAGATGATCGATTTCTTATTCGATCATAATATATTCCCATTTCCGCCGGATGAAATCTATTTCGAATATTGATTAGAGATCTAGGAAATTAATACCATCATATATATAATATCAATTTAAAAAATAATCAATTCATTTGAAATATGGAATATATGAAGAAGATATATATATATATCAATAAATCTTATCGAATATTCTTCAGAAGAGAAAATCTCATTTTTGAAGATTCATATCATTTGAACAATTCATAAACGAAGATAGAATAGATCCGTATCTCGAAACGATTAACTCTCAAGAAATTATTCTTTAAGAATTCTATATCTTTATATATCATTGAATCTTTCTCTATTGATATCATCTCATAAATAATGGATATAATAAATATTTATCATAATCATTAGATTTTGAAATCTCCATATATATAATCTTGATAAAGATTCCTTCTCCGATATGAAGATTCATTTTTCGAATTTGATATGAGATTCAAATAATAAGATCAAAATCATATTAAAAAGATATTAAGAGATACTATTGATCAGAATAAAGAAATAAATCCAAATATATTCTGAGGAATCCGAAAATCTCATAAAATCTATGATATTCATTGATTTTTTCAACTAGAGAATTGAAGAATAATATATATTAATTGAGAATCATCAAGAAATTATTCGTATAGATTTTCAGAAATCAAGAAAAATTCATATTGAACGATATTTTCATCAAATTCAGAAAAAAGAGAATAGAATATAAATCAAGAAATCGGATAAATTTGATATTGATTTCCAATCATACACAATTCTTGCTTCTACGATCTTTCTAGAAATTTTCTGTCATATCCTTCCATATCATCTCCGAATTAGAATTTATTTGATGAATTTTTAGGAGCTTTCCATTACTTCCAAAATTCGTATAAAGATAATGAATTCTAGGATCTAATATCAGAGATTTCATATATATAGATATATTAGATATTTTCCTTATATTCTTTATATTTGATTCAATCGAAATCTATAAGATGATTCTCAAAATCGAATCATATCTATGAGACGAGATAAATCATATTATTTTTTCCCTCCCTTGCAATGGGATTATTAGATTCAAAAATAGATATTATCCTCGCCCAACTAGAAGCTGACTTCAATAACCAACCTTCAAATATCCCTACAATGCCTAATCAACAAATATCCTTGCAATGCCCATTCAATGAATATCCCTATAATTTTTTTTTTTTCATAGATAGATCCAATCGTAAAATATCCCTGCAATATCCAACCCCAAAATATCCCTACAATCTTCAATCCCCAATATTCTATAATATCCATCCGCAGAATATCCCCGCAATGACCAACCACGAAAAATCCCTATAATACTTATTCGCCAAATATCCCTGCAATATCCAACCGCAGAATATCCCTCCAATCTCCAACTATAAAATATCCTTGCAATGCCCAATTACAGATTATCCCTGTAATATCCAGCCTCCAAATATCCCTATAGGGCCCAATTGCAAAATATCATTACAATGCCCAACCGCAGAATATCCCTGCAAGGACCGATAATAGAATATCAATATTCTCGCAGCGCATTTGAAACGTTACAAAGAAGACAACTAAGGGAGGAGAAAAGAAATATCATATTTCTTATGCAATAACGGCTTTAGGGAACATATATTCGAAATAGATAATTTGAAATATATCTCGAATATAATATTAAATATATATTCGAATTCAAGAAATTTTTATAGATTCATTCTAAAGAAAAATATCTATAGAAGAAAAGAAATTCAAAAAATTAAAGAAAAACTATAGATTCCAAATCGTAGAATTATAAGAAAAATATATCTCTTTTAGAAAATTTCTCATTTAAAAATTTATGAGAAAATATATAGAATTCCTAGAATATAATTCTCATAATTTAGCAAGATATTTTTTTTAAATATATATCTAATTTCTCAAAATTTACGAAATATCAATAAGATTATCATAATCTTTAGATCAGAAATTATTCAGCTCGAGAATTTTAGAAAAGAAATTCAATATCTAATCTAATCTATATCTATATATTTTCATAGATATAGAACAAATTAGATTCATTTATACAATTTAGTTCATAAATTATTGAATCAATTCTATTTATTTGAAGATTTATAATCGAAATCTATTTATTTCTTCGAAAATTCTATAATTATCCTAAAGAAATTTCATTTATAGTATATTATAATAATATTTCTAAGAATGTATGATTTCAGATAATATAATATATTAATTCATCAAATGAATCCCACGAAATTATTCAGCTAGAATCATCGTTCCAATAATATATATTATATAAAATCATAGATAGAATTTTTGAAAATTATTTTCCTTTCTAGATTCAATAGATCTTTGATCAAAATATCGTGACCGAAAATCATATATCTCTTATCCTAGATCTTATATATATCCATAAGTTTTCATCGTGGCCAATATTTCAGATTTAATTCATATAATACTTATTGATAAGAATACATAGTATATCTTTTCAAGTATGATTGATCTGCCTGTGTTTTTGTGGTTCGGCTTCATCCCACGCTTAGTTCGCGGTCGACGGCCGGTACTCTGAGGCATGCGAGGAATATCGGTTGCCAAGCCTTCGGATGCCATGGCCAAAGCTGCTTCCAGATCTGCCTCCATGTTCTCCCACTTTGAATGCCAAGCGCTCCTCGTTTTTCCCAGGCTGGCCTTGGACTGCTTTGCAACCGGATCCAGCTCAGGGGGCACTGCGTCGGATGCTCCTTGAGAGCCTCCTTCTTCTAAAACTTTCTTTTCAGCTCCGCCGGCGTTAGAAGCCCAAAGGTCAACTAACGGGTAAGGCTCAGTCTCGTCCTCCATCTGCAAAACGTCAGATGAGGGTGGCCTCAGCTCCTCCAGCTCCACGAGAGCTGGAAGCTCTTCAGGATCTATCTCATCTGCATCGGATGGGCGCATCCTTCCCGCTCGTCTGCGGCGCCGCTTCTCCTTTGGACGAGGCCTGGCCTTGCCCAAGACCCGGGCATTGCTGGGTGGGGAAGTCGGCGCTTTGACTGAGTGCCAACTACGAGCTTCGCGCAAGCAATAGCAGCACAAGGCCAGACTACAGCTGCAGGCGAGAAAGCCCGTAGCCAAAGGAAGAACCAGCTCGGAGAGCCAAGGTGGGAAGGAAGCTGAAGGCACTGAGGCTGTCTGCGATGTGAGCAGGGACGGAAGGCTGCTGGTGTTGGTTGTCCTGATCGCTTCAGGAAGTGGAACGTCAAAGGGGTGGCCCACGATGCAAGGTGGTCCGGCCGCAGAACACAGAGGTGCCAGGCGGATGATGTGACTCACAGAGCATGCATGATCTATGTCCTGTTGCATCTTCTCCTGGCAGACATTGCAATAGGAGGCGCAGCAGGCTCTGCTAGTGCTGTGCAACAGCCCGAACTGGCACGCAGGGTCCGGTCTCACGCTGACATCTTCACTCATGCAAGCCAAAACAGTGTGGTTTGCTGGACCCACAAAATGGCACATGCCAATCCTTATCAAGCTTCTTGCTGCTGCATATGAGCAGTTTTGTCCTTCTTGCAGGCCCGAGCATGCATCCACTATCATTCACCTTCACCAGGCCACACTGGTTTTGGATGGACGACTGGAGTCATGCTAGAACCGGACATGAGCAGAGCTGATGTGTCCCTACGTGTTCTCACGGGCATGGTAATATCTTCGGAAAGGATGCTAGCTCTGGCCTTCAGTTGTGTCTTTCTGCATGATAGCACCCAATGTTAAGGCCTGCTCTGTGCTGGCTGGTGCATACACATGAACCTCCAACCTTCCTCTTCGTGTAAACCAAAACGCAGCTCACCATGAGGTGCTGGACAGAAGACTAAGACAGCAATTCCTGTCAGCCCTGCGTATCAAACTTGAGTGCTGCTTCTTTTGCTAGCTTGTTATGTTTTGGCTGACCGTAGTCCATAATCCCTCACTACCTGGCTACACTGAGATATTCGTGCCTCAAATACTGCACATGAAGCAGGGCCGCAAAATTGAAATCCACTAAAAGATTTTCCTGTCCATGAGCATGGGCAGGTCTACACGAAGACGTCTGCAAAATCACCTGCTCCAGGAAGTTCCTCCTTGTTTGTGCTTTGTTTCTTCAAGTTCTGTGAGATCAGATTAACAAAGCAGCTGCTTAACATTGAGTGCCCCGGACATACTCTGAATGCTACCGCAATTGCTCGAGGAGCTGTTTCTCCGCCCTAACCTACTAGGTTTTGGCCACGAAGTCTTGCAAAAAGAATGCAGCCGCCCGCAAGCATTTATCTACAGACTTCCGTTGAAGAAGGCTGAGCCAGCGTTTCTTGAAGTTTTCTGTGCAGACCCGATGTAGGGGTTTCTCTGGAAGTATCTGCCCCACGTTCAAATCTTTCAGGAGCATGCGAGGATGTTAATACAACGAGCGTGCATGTGCACTTCATGACACTTCATCATCTGCAATGTTTACTGATTATGCCAGAGATGTTTTGGCTGCTGGTCATGAGGGATAGTTAGCTGATTGGGTGGTCCTTTTTTCAGGAGTTCATATGTCATAAGGTTTGTCTTGGGAGACTCCTAAGAACATCGTTCATGTAGCCTCCAGCCAGCACTTACTGGTTCTTAGTGGGGAATAAGGGAATGATTTTTGTGTAGCAGCCTAATTGCATGAAAGATTCCAATTTCTTTTCCATCCCTGGTATTCATTTTCTCGAGTCTGCTTGGTTGGAATGCCCTAGGCCTAGGCAAACATGAGGACACATAGACCACATTATCCCCACATACTTTGTGTACTGGCTCTGAAGCCCATAAGTTCAATCACTTAACTACTTGCTTGCGGCGGCGCGGCTTACCAACATCCTTCACCTAGTGCTTGCCGTGGCTGTAGCTCTCCTCTTGCGCTGACTCTGATCCTCCCTTTTTAAAAGTGCGAGCGCGAGTAGCTCCAGAGACCGCAGCCAGTTTCGACCTGCTACGGCTGTGCTGGTGTTTTCATTATAGACGTTTGTGGGAGAGTTTCCACATCCACCGTGGCCATCATGGCATCGGACTTCTGCCGCCACTCAGAATCATTCTTGAAACCTTAGCTTTCGAAGGCCCCCAGCAATACAAGAACATGACAAAGAGTCGGTTGAGTTCCTGGAATACCTGCTAAGCGAAAAGGCAACAAACCTAGAGCCGGGTGTGTGCAGCCCAGCAGCTGAAGTCAGGGTGCCAGAAGTTGGCCAAGAGTACCACGCGATTGCCAGGATAGGGCTCGTGTGTCTCCGCCTCTGAAAAGACAACCTCATGTTCAAAGGAGTCATCAAAGACGAGGCAACGTCCCTCTTGCCAGCCTCGCTGCTCCTCGGCAGCCACACGGATGTAGCAGCCTTGCTGGCAGGAGCGCGGTACCCGGATGCCAAGATGGCAAGTCAGGCGCGCGTTGCTAGGACCGCAATGCGGCCTTAATCGGGTCCCAGGCGTAAGAACGCTAAAAATGACATCTCCTCCACCACAAAACGCCAATCCGGTGGCATCTGCGCAATGCGTTTGCAGAATGCGAGTTGTTTCTGGGAACTGTTCCGTGTACTCGTGCTGCTGCGTGCAATTTGTGAAAAGTGGCACCTCTTGCCACTTCCCAGACTTTCTCAAGCCACCGTCGTGTAAAGCACCAGGACGGTTCCCGACGTCACCAAGTCCTGGGGTTCTGTCCGAGTCATCCCAATCCTTGCGGTTTGCGAGCTTCTCCATGTAGGCCTCGAACTCTGCCTTAATGATTGGGAAGTTCTCCTCTAAAGCCCGTGAGAGCGCAAAGTCTTTGCTGTCATGGAAAGGCTTGGCAGGCAAGCTTGGAACAAAATGTGGTGGTCGTTGCCACTTCGTATACCAAATGCCGTGCTTAACTGCTGTGATTGCCAGATCGTGCACATCGGTGTACCAGTTCGCCGGTTCGTTACGCTCAAGGCTGCCTATCAAGTTGATGTAGGCAGGTCGCTGCTTGGGATCTGTCTTCAAGGACTTCCGGTAGAAGCTCACAGCAGCCCGAGAGAACAGTGAGCAGTACTGCTCTACAGGAACCATCTTTGCCTGTGCAGCATCCAGCGCAGGCAGCTTCACCTGGGTGGCACCACCAAACTTGACTTTGTCACAGAGTTTGTTGAGCAGAACGCCCTGGTTGTAGTAAGCGTCTGCATCTGGAAAGCGCAGGATGCATATTATCGACCACATTCGGGCCTCATCCTCATCTTGGGCAGACTGCATTGGACAGCTACCTACATGTTCAAACAACAGCTGCGCCCTGAAACTGAAAGCAAAAGGAAAAAGGCTGGAGTGTCCTCACGGCTCTCCATTTCGAGCTTCTTGGTGAGAGTGTACGTCTTGGCTTTCCAGTCTGCTGGGTCCAATCTGCAGGGGAACTTGCCGAGGACTTCGCAGGCCTGATCAAGCAAGGCCTGCTCGTCCATGCCTCCATACCTTACAAAATGGCTCAGGGTCCAAGGCGTGCTAGGGCTGCTACGGACCATAAGGGATGGTGGAAGGTGGAACTTAGGATTTCAAAAGCTGTCATATGCAGGATGCCGAATGCGTTCATCTTTGTTGGGCATGTGGGAACTCTAACCACGAATCTTTTCAAGCCTTTCTTTAATGTCCCAGGTGCTTGTAGTATCCCCACATTTGGTCCAAGTCTGGTGCAGGTGTGAAAGGGAGGCGCTTATCCTGCAGCAGAGCCCGCCAAACGTTGTCGTAGTCCTGCCGCGAAACAGCGTCCCTTGGAAGACCCATGGGTAAGGTCAGGCTCTGCTTTGGGACCAGCTTCTCGTCGTCCGAGTCCTCTATTTTATCAAACTTGGAATAGTCAACACCGCTCTTCTGCGCTCCTCGCTCGCTGGCAACATATCCGGACTGCTTTTTGATACCCTGTGCGCCCTGCTCGGACACTTTTGGCTTGGCTTCAGCCTTGGCTTCAGCTGCTTTGACTTTCTGGATTTGCGGCGAGGCTTTCGGCACCGGTCTGGGTGCATATTCGGGATACCTTTGAGCAAGGAGCTGGCTCATGAGGTAAGCCACGTCCTTGGTGAGCAGGGTCTTCTTCTTGGTCTGGACCTCCATGGGCTCTGCAAGCAGCAGCTGCTGCCATGAGCGAGGACGCGGTGTCAGGTCAATCCAGGTGCCCTCGAACGAGTTCCACCAATACCGCTCAGCGACGAAGGCGGCACCAGGTTCCTTGTCGAGGCGCTCGAAGACAGCCCATCCCTGCACCATGCCTAAGCCAGCATGCCTGGCCAGCATCTCAGCATTGCTGAAGCTGTGCAGTGGAACGCAATCCAGGACCTCTTTTGGCAGCTTGGCGAGCTGCTCTGGCGTGGGCGGCCCAGCCACAGCCACTCGTTTAGCCGGTATCCGTCCTCTCTTGCCAAGCAAAGACTTCAGTGTTGCACCGGTGTAAACTTCTGGCCAGGACCTTGGGAAGCCCAGAACCTTCAGCACATCCACATCAGACAAAGCTGTCTCATCGGTGCTAACAAAATCGTCACTGCATAGCCAGTAGGCCTCGGAAATGCCAACGACTGCAGCGTTACCAGCAGCATCTGGAAACGCCATGGCGGCAAACTGAAGCTGCGGTCCAAAACTGCTGCAGAAGTCTCTAGTATTCAACTCACAAGGAAGCTAGTGCGATGAAAACTTGAATAGCGCTTAGCCTTACAAAAGCACAGCAATCCAAATGCTAGCAAGCCTACACGCTGCACAGACTGTACGAGATTGTAACGTAGATCCTCCCATAAGTTTTGTGGACTATCAGGCTTACACTTGAGAACCTTACACTGTAGCTCCAATTCACCTGCATTACCCTCCAAGTTGTCAGTTGTATGCAGACACTTTGTTGTCTTTGCTGTGCACTGCCCTACAGCCTTCACAGTTCCTACCTGCCCACCTGGCCTACTTGCGACAAGGATTGAAACTCTCCCTTTTCTGGTGTTTGCAGGTGGAGTCCATGACGATGCTGTCTCATTGGGTTTGCAAGACCGGCATCGTGGAAAGAGGAGCGAAAGTTGTGTGCAAAGCCATTGGTCTCAAAGGCTGCGGTGTCTTCCAAGGCTCCGAAACGCAAAGCCAGGCTTCAGGCTCAACGGCCCTGCAATCGCTTGGGCCTCAGCATGCCAGGAGCTGGACAATTGGCGGTTTGTTCGCAAGAGATCGTCATCTAAGCTACAAACTATCCTGCATGCAAAAACTGAGTCGAAACCCTGGTCTTTGGGCATCGTGCACATTCAACAGCGCCGACTCGCATGCGAAATCATGAGCGGTGATGGGGATAACACCTGGACCAAGCTGAGTCCAGGGTTGGCCACGATGCAGAGCAGATTGCAGCATCAGATTGTGGTTCCATTCCTTCACCTTCACACCTTCTGGGACTTTCAGGGTTTCATGAATTATATTGTTTTTTACACGTACGTGTAAGAAACTAGACCCTCCCACCCACCTCAAGAAATGTACTGTGCTCTGTTCGGCGTCAATCGCCTCAGGACATGAAGCAAATTGGCCTCAGAAGAGAAGGCCACAAGCGTTCGCACACCCTGAGGGGCGGGAAGGTCCAGATGCTCTGAAAGTTGTATGCCAATCTGCCTGACAATGCTGCTCAAACCCATTCTGACAAAGAAAGGGTCA